TTTTTAAGTTCATTAAACATAATATTTTTAGGTATAATTATCGCAAACAAAACGGCTAATTTAATGCTGTGTTGCAGTTAATTTATAGTCCGGTCAAAATAGACATTTCAAATAAGAAAAACTCCGACATAGCTAAATATTTGTGGAGACCATGGGTACGCCAGTCCCCATAGATCCCGTGTGTGCTAAAAAAAGTTATTCAAGGTCAAAGGTGAAAATTCTCGTTTTTTTTTATTTTTCTCGAAAACGGTCAGTTGAAGCTAACACTTATAAAGCAGTGTTGAACCTTGAACTAACTGAAAACTCAAAATTCCTAACGTAGTCTAACCCAAGACAAACATATTATTCAATTAAGGGCCACTTTTACCAACCTCTGTTAAATTTAACTGACAGTTAATCTCCATGGAAACAATTGTACTGACAATTATCTCCATGGAAGTTATACGTTAGTCAAATTTAACAGAGGTTGGCAAAAGTTTTTTTTTGTTAGTAGAGCAGCACTAAAGTAGCACTAACCGTGGAAGCCTACATTATTTCGATAAGGCAAAGTTGAGTGTGAAGTTGGCCCCACCCCGATTTTTTTTATTTTTTTCGTTTTGTATAGCAGCACTAACGTTTCCCTTGCAGCACTAAACAGCACTAACGTAGCACTAACCGAGGATACCTACATTATTTCGATAAGGCGAAGTTGAGTGTGAAGTTGGCCCCACCCCGATTTTTTTTATTTTTTTCGTTTTGTATAGCAGCACTAACGTTACCCTTGCAGCACTAAACAGCACTAACGTAGCACTAACCGAGGATACCTACATTATTTCGATAAGGCGAAGTTGAGTGTGAAGTTGGCCCCACCCCGATTTTTTTTATTTTTTTCGTTTTGTATAGCAGCACTAACGTTACCCTTGCAGCACTAAACAGCACTAACGTAGCACTAACCGAGGATACCTACATTATTTCGATAAGGCGAAGTTGACTGTGAAGTTGGCCCCACCCCGATTTTTTTTATTTTTTTCGTTTTGTATAGCAGCACTAACGTTACCCTTGCAGCACTAAACAGCACTAACGTAGCACTAACCGTACCTATAATTTTGTTCAAATATTTTCACTGGGCGGGGCCAACTTCACGTGGCTAAATTTAATGCCGTTTTATAGTCTTCTAGCTTAAAGTGGTCATTATTGATATATGAATTTAAATGTTTTAAATTTAATATAAACCTAAACGAACCATCTGGTTTAGGTGTTAGAAAAAATGGTGAAATAAACTGGCCCTGCAGGGGCGAGCATTTCGACACCGCTCCCAAAGATAACATTTCGTAAATGCAAACGTGAAGCTTTGATTTTTGTTGAGTAGACCAATTTGGTACTTTAAAAGGACATGATTGTTTAATATTTCCAAATAAAGGAATTTTATACCCATTTAACCAAGACAAAATCCGTTTGTCATTAGTAATATTTTGCCAGTTACCTATAAAATGTTTCAGTCTACCAGCAAAAGGTAAATTTACCTCATTTTCTAATAAAATCTGCTCCTGCGTTGATAAGTCTGTCTTGTCTTGTCTTGGTTTTTCTCTCGTACAAATGGATGTCTGCTGCCCATTTTCTTTTGAGGAAAGGCCATTTTTCGGAGATCCCGATATCTCTCGGTTTGAGAAGCAACCCTGGTTCTCATTGGTCCAGCCTGGGGAAAGCTTCTCTGAGAATTCGCAGCTGGACCCTTCCAGTTTAAATGTTTTGTTTTATCTCTCACCTTGGGGGGTTTTTGAAGGTCAGATTTCGATTTCTGAACTTCTTTGGCACATTTTATATCCTCTATCAGAGTACTGCCAAATAAGAGGTTGTCGGACACTGAATTTTGAAGAGTGTCTTTAAGTTTCTCGTTCAGTAGGTTTGAAACTAAAGATCGTCGAATATTTGTTTGTACAAAAATTTGGTTCGATAACAGCCGTGATGAATTGCTAATATTCTCCGCCATAAACATTCTTGATTCTACTGGAATGTTGTCGGAGGTTAAAATCTTGTTAAGAACCTTCGCGTTAGCAATCCATGCAGCGCATAGTTGTTTCTGGTTATTAAGCAAGCGAGAGTCCCTAGCCACAGCTGCCTCAGAAATTGTGGCTTTTATTTCGGGGTTAAGTACTGGCGGTTTAATAAATACACAATTTTCCGGAAAAGGATATTTAGTAACCAGGTCGTTAATTATCTCTTCGTTTAATCCAGATTTTATAAGGTCTTCCCATCTTTGAACCAATTCGGGGTGAATCGCCTCACCGACATCCGAAATTGTGCAAGATTTTTCTCCCAGTAGAGATAATAATTGAGGATCAACGTTTTCTTGATCATTCGAAATTAATTCCGTATGGAAATTTTCCCCATGATCATGAACAGAATCCTCTAAAGCAAAAGACCAAAATTAGAGCCAAACTTAAAGCATTAAAAGGTAGTGATTCAATCACATAATTTACGAGTGTGCGTGTATCACGTACGTAACCTCGAAAAAGGAAAATTCCTTTTATAACAAAATTATTGTGATTCAATCACATAATTTCGTATATGCAACCAGAATGGTGCAAAAGCAACAAGGTTAATAGGTTCCACGAACCCTCTGATAACTGTTTCAAACAATATCAGGCCCGTTCTAAATATAGAACTGCAGCATCGCCTAACTTCAGCAAGGCGATCAGTCGAAGGCGTGCATGTATAGGTTAGGTTACTCAGTAACCGCCTGCACAAACAAAATTACCTTGATCTGATGAATCGGAGGCCATAACTAGAACTCGTTTCCTCTTTTTCACCTGACCTTCTAAAATCTTGAGACGCTTCTTAAGTTGTTTGAAGTCTTCCTCGTTTTTTCTTTTATGTTTTCCCATATTGCACACAAAACAAGCGCGACTGGTTCGCAGCGCACGAAAAAGAGAAGTGAATATAAAGCGTGTGTACCCTGGGAGAGAGGACGCGTTCCCCCGCTTTTTGTTTTTAAATCGCGTGGTTCAAGCAGGATAGAGAGAGACTACCACTTTGATCTTCGAAGGTCGAGACATGAAATATAATGACGAAATTGATAAGAACAGTGGGAATTTGAAGAAGCCAGCAAATTTAACTGAATATAACAGTACCAAAGGAGGGGTAGATACTGTAGATAAACTGTGGCCGATGGTTATTTTTTATCAAATTTCAATTTCAACTATTGCTGGCATCAAATCTATGGTGATATATTCCGCCAATAATCCTGAAAAGGCAGTGTTGACAAGACGATTTCTTGAGGATTTAGCAAATAACCTAATGCGCCCACACTTGGAAGTGAGAGCAACCATGTCTAATCTACCAAGAAGTCTTAAGGTCTGTTTAGAAGAACTATGCGGCGTTCAACCTGTAGGTTCCGCTCAAAATGTGATTGGCAGAGGTAAGTATTGAGACCGCACCAAGAACCGAAAAACGTGATTTTCTTGTTTCAACTGTGCATCATATATGTGCTTATAACAACTGAGGAGCGTCTATTCAAAACCAGACATGTCCAGTAAAACTAGTTTTGAGAAAATCACGAAAAACTATTGTAGCCGTGTTTTTAATAGTATATTAAGATACAAGTGTATAATCAAGTCTTTAAAGCACGCGCAACGCGTTTAAGGGCACGACGCAAGTGCTTTAAAGACCAATTATACACGTGTATCTTATAGTATTTTTTATTATACCTGCAGTATAATTTAAAAATAGGAAATACAATGAAATCATATTGACGTTATACTCGAATATACACTCAGAAAAATTTATACGTAAAATTAATAAAAAAAATAGATACGTTTAACAAAAATTTTATCTCTATTTGGTAGATGAAAGGTTTTGTTACTCTTACAAAAAGTATTTTATTAATAACTTTTTCAAAGCATTATCATAATAGTAACAACATTTTCATTAACGGCCGACAAAAATTTTATTACCTGTAATGTGCTACTTTGTAGTAATAATTATAAAACTCCTAATGTATGATGTATAGAGTTTATTGTCCTAATAATATTGAACTTTGTCAGAATAACAAAAATGTATTGTTACCAACATGCCTTATATTTGTTGTCATAGTAACTACATATTATTGCCGTGATTATTATAATTGTTATGGTAATTATTATTTTATTAAATGTAACCTACTACTTTGTAGTAGTTATAATACTCCTAATGTATGCTGTATAGAGTTTATTGTTCTAATAATGTTGAACTTTATCAGAATAACGAAAATGTCTTGTTCCCATCATGCCTTAAATTTGTTGTCATGAGAGCTGGGCAGTGTTCGATGATGTAAATACTTTTTTGTATTCAAATACTTTAAAAGTATTCAAATACTTTGTAATTAAATACTTTTAGGAAAGCAGTATTTGTAGTTGAAACTCAAATACTTTTATAAATATTTAATATTCGAATACTTTTTAAAGTATTCAAAGGAAAGTATTCAAATACTATTAAAAGAATTTAAATATTTTATAATGTTCGAAACGTATAGTACTTGAATATTTTTGAAAGTATTCGAATACTTTTCAAAGTATTGGAATACATTGTAAAGTATGTAAATATTTATGAAAGGATTTGAATACTCTTCAAAGTATTTAATATTTAGTATTTGCTCGTGTTGTGTGCAAAGAATTTAGTATTGCGCCCAGCTCTGGGTCATAACAATTAAATATAATTATTGTGATTATTATGACTGTTCTGATAATTGTTATTATTGTTGTCTTCTTCTCCTTCTTCTTATATTGTTATTATTATTACTATTATTATATAGTGTTTGACGTTAATCATAATCGACTGTATTGTTACATTAAAATAATACTTATTTTAATACTTATTTTAATGTACATATTGTATGCGATATTGACCTCTTCGTATATGAAACGCTGTCGTCAATATGAAAAGAGTTTCCACTGGATGGATAATTTACCTATACTAGAAAAAAATAATGCACACTTTACTATTATTGTTACTGTTCTGGTTTTATTGCTGTTCAATAAAAAAAACGCATTTCTAATTTACGGCTTTATTTTCTTAAAAAATAACACATGTATGTTAAAAAACATAATCTTTAAGGGGTGACTGATCCGAAACAAAATGTTTATACTAATCATCAAGAAAAATCATAATGGAAGTAGGCTGTGCCGTTTTGATAAAAAACTGTTGGAAATAAAAATGTCATTCTCAAAATACTAAAACATCATACTAAAATTTTTCAGCCTACTGTAATTGTAATATTTCTCAAAGTTATTGTAACTTATTTCCTAAGCATTTGTTGTGTAAACTAATTCACAACTTTGTTAAGTTCTTTGAGAAACATTGTAAGTTTTGGTATAACGGCGTCATGGGCCGTTTGTATATTATAAAAATATATTTGAATAAATTGCCACACGATTAGAGATTCTTGAGGATATTTAAAATCAAAAACATGAAATACCTTAAAGCAACAATCTAAAGCGGGCACGATATTCACAAAGTAATACTTTACATTATCAAAAAGTACAATTACTTGTTTCGCCTGATAAAACTCATTTTCATGTAGTACTGCTATTAATGGTTGTACCGGTTGGTTCATGCTTTTTTTGCTCAGTAGTTTTGATTCAATTTCCAACACACTTTTTCCAAAAACTATAAAGGAATCTTGCGAATCACCAATGGTAAATTTTTGTACCGTTGATTTATTTTCGGTTTTCGTAACTTTCTTTGAGGTTGGTGTCAAAGCTGCATGTAGCAAAAATAGTATCACAATTGCCTTTTCGTCTAAAAGAACATGAATTAACAAATGATTATGCAACTTGGCTAAGCGTACCATCCGAATGCTGTTCCAACACAAATTTTTGAAGAATACATTTACATCTTTTATCTTTTACTATGGGCATTAGGTAGTCAAAAATCTTGCGCGAGAATATTTCCCATTTAGTAAATAATGATTCTGCATTGGAATAAAGATATTCGAAATCCAGATCAACCTAAAATTACGCGTTTTCGCTATTAATTAAAAAATTCAAATGTGCTTGCCAAATTTCAAAACATGGTGGCTATTTAAGATATAGAACACAAATTATACTTCGCCATTTGACAACATATTATGTCAGAACATATTATATTTCTTTAAATTCGGCTGAAGACCAGGAAAAGCTTAACAGGGATTGTTGTAAATTCTATCCTTTCAGAATGATCAATTAGCTGGCAAAACCTGTTACTAATAGTGTAATTAGTTAATGTGTAACAGTGGAAAATCAATTTTATGTAGATAAAAACTATATGGATACTTTTACCATTTGTTTATATACTGCATATACAGTGTGTACTGGCCAAATGGAATAAATTCGATATTAAATGGGGTCGTGGGTCGAAAACTAACTCAGATACCTCGATTCGTATTTTCTTCAATCAAGGGTGTTTCATTTAAAATAAGACAGTTGGTATTGGAAACTGTTATATGACACAGTGGGTATAAAGATTTTTTTGCAAAAAATGGGCACCTAAAAATACGAATCGATGTGTCCAAACGTTTTGGAACACTCCCCCGTTTTTTTTAAATTTTATTCCGAAATAAAATTAGTTTATATTGAAAAAAGTCTTACTAGTGTATATCCCAAGGGTCTTTTAAAAGCCGGCCACTCGTTTAGGAAGCTTACTATACTGGATTCTTGATTTTCTAACAACATTTTTCTCCTATAATTTTGAACAGACTTCCACATGACGACCAGCTGTTCCCAACGTTCTCCTTCCTGCACGTACTTTAATTTTTCTTTGATGGTTACACAATTTTCCTCGGCCGCTGGTAGCTCTGAAATATTTCATTTTAATTAAATTGTTACTATTCACATTATTCACGAAATACCTTCAATATTCCGGTGTTTAATACTTGAACGTAGTTTTACTTTTTTCCCTAACAATCCACTATCCGTCAATCTTCTCACTTGATTATAATATTTAGAAAGTAACTTTCCTTTCGGGGCTTTCCCTGTTTGGGGAGCAAAATAATATTCCTAAAAATTATTTTGTAATACACAATAAATAAATAAATAAAAGATACCGGTGTTTCTTCGGGAAATAATTTATTTATTTGGATACTAATAGTTTTAGCAGCAGATACATTCAGTTTTTGGTTTTGTTGTATAAAATAATCAACGATTTTGTCCACAACTGTTTGTTTTTGTGACATCGGTATTTCTCTTACTCCTCCATCTATAAGTTTTAAAATGGTTTTTCCCTCGGCGTAGTTTTGAAGAATTTTTTCCACGTTAATCTGAAGTAACAATATGTTAAACTATTTACTACAAAATACGACTTACTATTTCTGGAACAGAATCCAAAAGACCACCAAACGTATGTTCCTTTTCATTGGTACTATGACCATAGTCTTCTCTTTGGATGCCTAAATTTACTTTCTGTGCAGCACCAGCTGTGTTTTGATGGGATTCTTTCCACTTTGAAATATTTTGTTCTAACTTAATCCTTAGCCCCAATGGAACACTATTTAATAACTCATTGATGTGATGAGGCTGGGCGTGTTTTAATGCAGTCAAATCTATTTGGTTTTCTAGAATAAAAATGTTTTTAGAAAATTAACCGCGAGTACCATGCATTAAATACTAGGTAGGTACTTACCGATAAAACAAGGTCGCAAACTTTCCAGCTGCCATTGTCTTAATAGATCGTCCACCTCAGGATCTAAAGTGTCAGAAGATTGAATTTCATCAAGGTTTAAAATTACCTTGTTATGATTTGGTTCGTTTGATCCATATTCCGTACTACAAGAAGCTGGTGGAACATTTTCCAAAAGGGAATCGCTGAGAAGAGTGTCACCGCCGATTAGATTATTATAAAGGTACCTTTGTTCATCGTCATTAAGTATTTCACTGACTGATGAATCCATTGTTAAAAACTACTTTTGAAACACTACACACGTTACACTAAGTCTTATTTTACTCCTACGTCTATACAACAATATACCTACTAACAATGTAAAGAAAAACTACACTTTACCTAGAAGGACTTTGCAATAAACCAAATATATTGTACTACGTCATAAAGCCGCTACATAGCAAATAGCAGCCGCGGTTGAATTTTGTAAACTGAGACGGAGCCGGGGTTTGTAATAAAATCAACCAAGTCCGCTATTTGTGATGTATTGGCCGTGTGTCCTTCAATATTTAACATCCTTAGCAAAAAAATTGATTAAGAAAAATATTCTTTAAGACGAACATAGCTTTTGCCATCGGCTAACTGGCAACAGGTTAAAGGTGGTCCAGATAATGAGTTGATATTCATAATTTTTAAATCCTTCTCACCCATTACCATATAAGCATCATAATGAGCATTGTAGTTCACTTCTAATTCCTTACAAATAATATACACTTTGTTAGTGTTTGTGTCAGACACAAATTCTTTTATTTGTTCCAACACTACATTGCCGCAATAGCTGGAAAAAAAATCATCCGTACGGTAAACGAAACCTTTGTAACAAATTTCAGAATAACATAGAATGGTATCTTTATCTAGGGTTTGATAAATAAAATCCAAATAATTTGACTTGCTCGGAGATTTATCAAATATAATGGAGACTTGCTCTGTGGTTGATGAATGTAAAAAAAGATGCGCAAATTTCAATTCATATTTTTTTGCTATTGACAATGGCAAGTTAACCCTTGAATTTATAACGTGAGCATATGTTTTAAGTTCGCGATGTTTTGACTCAAATCTGAAACACCAATATTGTCTCGGTGGTCCAGAATTTTTTATAATCATAGGGTAGTGGAGTAAAAAGTGGTGCTTTGGTTTCAAAGTGTCCTTAAACAATGACACGTAACTAGAAAGGTTCTTTTGAATTAAAACCCGCAATAAGGCAATTCTTTCATCAGAAATACTGTGGGCTAGCAAAATGTCAACAATCTGTAAAAAATCTAATAGAAAATCCCAAACTGGGTCTTGATGAGGTACGAATTCACCGATTATAAATGTAAAATAATGCAAAAAGGTCATCATTTCGCTAGCCGACATTTTAAGACGTTGGTTTTGTAAGTGAACAGCATTAATTGGTTGTGAAATATTACCGACATCGTAGCGACCGTAGTTTATAAGCTGTTTTCTTTGATTTAGTTGCTCCAAATTAAAAATTTTGAGTTTATTTATGTAGTAATTAATAATATGACAAAGATTGTAATGGCAAATTCCTTCAAACAAATCGTGCATGATATCCACAGCAAAATTTGTTGTTACATGGAAGGATGGTATATTATTGAAAATAGATTTTTGTTGTACGCCGTATTCCAAGTTTTCAATAGAGGATTTAAAATTTAAGTCATATTGCTCAGGTTTTCGCATTAATGCCGGGTCCTCTTTACACGCAACTTGGCACTGTTTTTTGTGCATTTTACAAAACCTGCAATAATAGTTACTTGAAAAAGATTTAGCAAAAGGAGGCTATTTAAGCCTAAATTATCTCCCAGGACTAAACCTAACATAAAATACACCTTTATATCTTTCCCTGACAAATTGATAGTAATGCCGTCTCTTTCTAGGATAATGATTTCATCTACAAGAGTTTTTAAACATTCGTTATTACCAAAAGACTTTACATGCGCACTTTCAATTAGACCGGCTAAAAAAATGTTTTCCAGCTTAGAATTGTTAAAAAAAATTGGAAATGAATAGTATAAGGCTGTTATAGGAGAGCAATGACTTCCTAAGGGATTGTTAACTTCAAAATCATCGGCGTATAAAAAATACGGAATAGCTACCGCATCGTTTGAAACATGCTTTACTTTTTCGGGCCAAAGCTTTCCCTGTATGAAACTAGTAATTGTATTATCGTTGCTACATTTAATGTTACTTATGCAATCCAAGGTTTTTTGCAAATTATTATGTTCAGAAAATATTTTTTTCATTTGGAACGTTAGTGGCATTTTTATTCCACAAACCTTTTTTTCAGCGTACACGGCTTCTCCTTGCCTAAATGTTGGTATTACACGATTATCGATGGTGTACTGCAGTACATCACCGGCTAAATTATTTTTATATAACCACATATTCAACTTGTAATCGGTATTACAAAACTGAAAAGGATTTTTTAAACGC